TAGGGGCTTTCTTGTCTACACTGGCTGAAGCCAAAAGAAGCTGTTGGTAAGGAGGTCAAAATGAGCAGAGACAGCTCCCAAGTACACAGCTCAGCCCAAGGGAGGTGAAGTCCAAGTTCCCAGCAGTGGCGTATCCCCTACCACTTGGTGTGGGTAATTCCGAGTCGGTAAGTATAAATTAGCCCCGGGGCAGGCATCTGCAGAGGAGCCAGGAGACCATGGAGGGTGGCCAGGCTGCTGCAGAGCCCCGCCTGCTGGGGCTGGGGCCTGGCTAGAGAAAGGGCAGGGGCAGGTGCCAGCAGGGGTTAAGCGAGTTCATGGCTCCGCTCCACCCACAGGCCTTGGATGATGCTAACAAGGGCATCATTGAAGAGCTGAAGAAAACGAACTACAGGGAGACACTGAAAGAAAAGAGGGAGAAAGGTGAGTGCCAGTAGCTTCAGGATTCTCTGCTGCCTTCTCTCCTGTCCGTCCTCAGCCGCCCTTCCCAGCAGCTTCTCCGGTGCTGGCTTGGCACTGCCCACCAGGTGTTCCCCCCCAGCCCCAGCCCTTCCTGGGGCAGGAGAGGAGGGCGGTCCAGCCTATCTCTGGTGGGGTCAGAGCCCACCTTGTGTTCCCTGAGAGCCCACTCCTGTGTTTCTCCAATTGATTCATCGGATATTTGTTAAGCACTTGTCAAGCGCTGGGAGGGAGGCAGAGGCTTGGCCCCTGCCCCAGAGGAGCCCACAGCCCGGGGGCAAAGCCAGGTGATTTTGAGTTGTCAGCAAATGGGCTCCTGAAGGCAAGCCCTGCTGACTGGGAGGAATCACTCTTCTGTGGGCACAAGCGGAGAGCTCCGGCTGTCTGGGGGAGATCGGGAAGGCTCTGAAGAGGAAGAACCATCTGTTTCAGGCTCCAAAAGATGCCCTCGGGCTTTCTAGGCAGGAGGTGCTGGTGGGAAATAGGGGGGACGAGGACACAGCAGCAGAACGACAGTAGCTTGCACTCTGAGGGCTCTTCCTGCACACCCAGCACAGGATCAGGAATGATCCGGTTCAGTCCTCACCACCAGAGCAGGTAGCAGCTGTTTCTGGGGGGCAATAGAGGCTGAGTCAGGTTGGGTGACCTGCCTGGGTCACACAGCAGTCTGACTCGGAGCCACGCTGTCCTCTGCTGCGTCACACTGCTCTCCTGGCCGGCATGCAAGGCCACGGGTCAGGTGAGGGCACGCAGCAGTCTGGCCTCCAGGGAGTAAGGAAGCCTCGCCCCTCCCCCCAGCCCCTTCCAGCTCTAGGAAGAAGTGAGGGAAGAGGAGGTGGCTGCAACCCCAGCCCCACGGCAGCGAGCGGGGGTGGGCCCCAGAGGGGATGGGGTGATGAAAGAATGTTCTCCATTCAGTGCTTCCTGTGTGCCAGGCCCTCCTCTAAGGGCTTTATATGAGCTAACTCGTCTGATCCCTTCCAGAACACTATGAAATGAGTATTACTGATTTTATGGATGAGGACACAGAGGCAGAAGGGTTCAAGTCCCATAGTGGCTTTCTGTCTCTGGCAGCCTGGCCTAGAACCCATACTTCTACCCCGTTTCCGCCTGCCCCTCTGTGGTGGTGTGTCATTCCAGCTGCATCGCCGCGAGAGGCAGCTAGGTTGGGGCTCCGTGTCCCCAGGAGGACAGAGCCCCCTTCCAGGCACCAAGGCTGGAGTCCTCTCTGATTCAGGCACAGCAGCAGCAGCAGCAGCGGGAAGCTGGGCGTGAGGTTTCTGGGCACCCAGGCAGCCAGATGACAGCCCTTTATTATGCAGTCTGCCATGTGGTGGCTGGACCTCCTCACGGAAGGAATTGGCCTCTGTTCCCACAGGCCCTTAGAGCTGCTCAGAAGCCGCAGGGGCAATGTATGTGAAGAGCTACACAGGGAAGGGGCGGATGCTCCTAGCAGCTTCCCATCCCTTTGGTGGGCCACCGGCCTGGGAAGGTATCCTGAAAACCCACTGGGGGAGGCACTTCCCTCTGGGAACAGCAGGTGGCAGCATTGCATATGTCTTCATGCCAAATGGTGGCCTTTTCCCTGCTGTGAACTTAGGGCCCCTGAGGGCATCTTAGACCAGGGGCTTCCAGAAAGAGAATATGGAAGAACTCAGGAGGGGATTGTGACTTTTCTCTGTAGCCCAGAAAAACGTGGGGCAAGGATCTCTTTGATTGTAAAAATAGCTCTCAGGCTGAACTTCCCGCTCACAGTCTGCTCCTATTTTGATAGGGAACCTCCCAATAAGTGATGACTGTGCTTCCCAGGGACAAAGAGAAATGCAGAATGAGGGTGCTGGAGAAGAGAACCCCTCTGTGATCCCCCAGTTCCTGTGTTATTTTTCATCAGGAAGGAGAATGTGCTCTGAGGGCAGACCGTCCTGGGTTCAAATTCTGATCCTGCCATTTATTTATCTGCAGTGTGACCACTGGCTGTGTTTTCTGTCATCAGTCTCAGGTCCTTTGACTGTGAACTTGAATCACTGACATTATGCAATTCCACGACAACCGAATGGTATCACCTCTGCAGCTCACACAATGCCTGGAGCAGGGCTGGCACTCAGGAAACAACCATCCACTTTCTCTGCTCTGGGAAAGGCGTGCTATCTCTCAGAAGCACAGGCTCCCATGCCTTGAGGTTCACCCAGACCCAGAGATGGACAAACTTTTACTTTTCTTCCCTCCTATCTCCTGTTTTTCAGAAGAGGCGGCTGAAATGGAAAAGAAGGCCATGATGGTGAAGGAGAAGGAAACAACGAGAAGAGGAAGAGATGAGCCCGAGAAGGTGATGAAGCACTGGGAACGAGAGCTGGTCAACGAGAAGGAGACGGACGATGAGCTGTCTCAGGAGGCTCTGGGGACCACAGTGATTGTACGAGAAGAAAACAGGCAGACAGAAGGAGGGAAAGCCCACTCCTTCCAGAGAATAGGGCTGGGGGCCACGGGCCGAGATTCGAGAGACTTTGCCAAGAGTGTGTCTGGAGAAGTAGGCGCAGAAAGAGCGGGAGAAGTGAGCAGAAGGAAATCAAGAGAAATTTACAGGAGGCCTTCAGACTTGGACCAGAAACTCTCAGGAGAATTAAGTGGAAAGGAGTTGGAAGGACTGGAGAGGAAAATTTCAGAAGGCAGCAGAAACGAGTCAGAAGAAGTAGAGCAAACAGAACTAAGAGAAACAGAAGTGACAACGGCAGAAAACGCTTAAGAAATGGAAAAAGATGGAGGAACAGATGAATGAAGTAGTCGTCAGCAGGCATGGGGCCCGGGGGTGGGGGGCGGCTTGTGGTTCCCGGGGCTGTGAGGATCTTAATCTGCACTTTCAAGCTGAGATTTGTCCTTGATGGGAGAACATCTGGACTGGGCCCCGCAAGTCCCTTCTGCCTCATTCTGTTACTGTTTTCCCGTTAAATAGATTTATTTCATTCTTACAAACCCCCGGTCTGTCATTTTGCCTCCCTCCTCACCCACAAGAGCCTTAGAGAACCTGGCTCAAGGTACCACATCCCAGGTGAAACTCTGACCTTAACCTTGGCCAGGTGACACAGACTCCAAGCAAGGCCTACAGAGCGTGATCGAGGTGGGACGTGTGGTCCTCTCCCCCAAGCCCTGCTGAAGGATCGCATGGAAGAAATGAGAGAGGTGCTAAGAAGAAAAGGTTTCAGGAGGGTGAAGAAACAGGTGGGCTCCAAGGAAACAGGCTAGCTTACAGAGGGGAGTAGAGGTGTGTCCACCCGGACACTGGCCATCTGTCCATCCTGCTGAGTGCATATTCAGGGCACTGTGGGAGGCTTTATGGAAGAAATAATGATGGGGCAGCCTCAGCCATCACAGTGAGGAAGACCTACTTGTAAACCCTGAAGCCTGGAAGGCAGGATGAAGTGAATGCTGGCACTGACGGGCACTGTGCTCTAGGAGCCTGGACGGAGAAGGTTCCTGCCCAAGCACAGGGAGCAGCCCCAAGTTGGAGTGGCGGCTGGGCTGCACCTGCACCACTTCCAGGCGGCAAGGTCAAGGAAATCAGGCTCCCACAAGCTTGTTTCCTCCTCTGTAGAATGGGGATCTGCCTCCCGGCTTGGCGTGAGGCTTCTAGGGGTGCTTCGCACAGTGCTTGGTACACAGGAAGCTCTCAAAAATCCAACCAGCTTTCAGTGGCTTCCCAGAGGAGGTGGCAGCTGAACACCTACCCTAGGGGATGAGCTAGGATTTCACTACATTATTCATCTGTCCCTTGGCCATGGCCATCATCGTTCCATCTACAGTCCTTGGAAGGGTTAGGGCTGATATGAGGCTAGCTAGGACCAGGTCTCGACTAGAGTGAAGTGAGTGAGGCATTTCAGATGCAATATTTCATAGAGTGCCAAGAAACTCAGTAAGCGAGATATAGTATTTGGTCTTTAAAAAAAAATATTTATTTTTGAGAGAGAGCGCGAGAGAGAGACAGCAGGGAGAGGGAGGGGCAGAGAGAGAGAGAGGGAGACGGAATCAGAAGCAGGCTCCAGGCTCTGACCTGTCACCACGGAGCCCAATACAGGGCTTGAACTCAGGAACCATGAGATCTTGAACTGAGCCGAAGTCAGATACTTAACCGACTGAGCCACCCAGGCGGCCCCCGAGATACAGTATTTTAAGGTAATGTAAAACACACACCCAAATTAACGCAAAACCCCACAATGGATAAAATTTAAGTAAAAATTTAAAGACAGGATCTAACCTTGCTCTTGCACGACCCTGCCTCCCTGGCTTCACCCTAACCCTGCTGCAGGAGCGGGGAAGGGTGACTGCCTCCGTCTTTCTAGAGCTCCGCGGGAACGCTCGAGGGCACAGGTGTGCCAAGGCACAGCTGGGCGCCGGACGGCCGCTTCCTCCCGCGTGGAGTTTCGGGTTTCGATTCGCCGCGCCTGCGCGGAAAGCCCCGCCCCGCCTCGCCCCGCCCCGGCCCGCGGCGCGCGCTCCGTCTCCCCCCTCCCTCCCCCCTCCGCGGGCTATATAAAGCGGCCCCGCGGGGGTCGCGCCACCGCTGGACTCCGAGTCCCTCCGCGCAGGCGGGCGGCCCCGGAGAGCTAGTGCCTGCCAAGGCGGCGGCGGCGGCGGCGCCCCCCTCATCATGGTGAGCGCAAGCGGGGAGGCGGGAGCGGGCCGATCAGGGAAGCACCCTTAACGGAAAACGGGAGTGTGGGGGGATTTTCGGGAGGAAGTGCCATGCAAATGAGCACCCGAAGTTCCGGAGTTGAGCTCCGGCTTTGTGGGTGGTAGAGTGCAGCCCGAGGTAGGGGGGAGGCGAATCGAGCCGGAGAGCGGGCACGGCCGCTGGAGGAGGGCGGGTACCGGGCGCCGCGGGAGCCGGCAGACCGAGTCTGGGTCGGGGGTAGCGCGGGGCGAGCATTCCTCGCCTTTTCCGGCCCGCGGGCCTTGTCTGAGCAAAGCGAGTGCTAGCGCAGCGCTCAGAGTGCTGCGTGGAGGTGGAGCCGCTGTGGAGGAGACCGCGTACCGCAACAGGTGCTGTCACTTGTGGCTTTTAGCAGGATGGGAAACAAGTGGCTCAGAGGGGTGCCGCTGACGCACAGCAAAGTGGTGGATAGAGCTGGCCCCTGGACACAGGTGCCCTGGACCGCCTGGCCCTGGGGCAGGCACAAAGACCACGACTTGGGGGGGGGGGCGAGGGCAGAGGAGGGGGTGGCAGACTTGGTGAATGAGGCCCTTTGTCTGGTCGCTCTCCTGCCCTGCCCCCCACCAGGCCTTCTGTGGGACCATTGTCCCCCCCCATCCCAGACAAGAGAGTATTATCTGTTGCTGCCGTTGTTGGGGGGAGGGAGGCAGTCTTTGGGTAACCCTTCTCCACCCCCACCCTTCTCTGCACCCCCAGAGCCAGGACAGCTGTGGCTTGGCCCAGACATAGCAGCCCCACCTCCAAAGAGGTCATCCTTAACAGGTGCCAAGAATATAAAGTTAGGGTCCGCTCCTAGAACCACAGGCGCGCACTTCCTGCACACGTTCCCTTGAGCGGTGGCAGTAGTAGGCGATCCTTGAAGCGACAGCTCCAGCCAGAGGGAATTAAGAGTCTAGCAGCGGCCAGACAGCTCTCCCCTCCCTTGTCCACAACCAGAAGCCTCCATCTCCGTAGTACAGAGAAGGGAAAGGTCCACTCTGCGGCTCGGGGGGGACGCCCGCAGCACCGGAGCTGCTTGTAACTCATCGCTGGGAGCCCCACCGATTAGAACGAGGCCAGAGGCGAGGGGGCAAACCTGGCGGGGAGGCCCCACGTGAGCTGGCTAACCTCTGCTCTTCCCCTCCTCATACAGAATAGAAGCTTCTCCAGAAAGAGCCACGCGTTCCTGCCCAAGATCTTCTTCCGCAGAATGTCCTCCGCTGGGGCCAAGGACAAGCCTGAGCTGCAGTTTCCTTTCCTGCAGGATGAGGAGACGGTGGCCACGCTGCAGGAGTGCAAGACGCTCTTCATCCTGCGAGGCCTGCCGGGGAGTGGCAAGTCCACGCTGGCGCGGGTCATTGTGGACAGGTACCGTGATGGCACCAAGATGGTGTCTGCTGACGCTTACAAGATCAACCCCGGCATTCGAGGAGACTTCTCTGAGGAGTACAAGCGGCTGGACGAAGACCTGGCCGCCTACTGCCGCCGGGACATCCGCGTCCTGGTGCTGGATGACACCAACCACGAGCGGGAGCGGCTGGAGCAGCTCTTTGACCTGGCCGACCAGTACCAGTACCAGGTGGTGCTGGTGGAGCCCAAGACGGCGTGGCGGCTGGACTGTGCCCAGCTCAAGGAGAAGAATCAGTGGCAGCTGTCGGCTGACGAGCTGAAGAAGCTGAAGCCGGGGCTGGAGAAGGACTTCCTGCCACTCTACTTCGGCTGGTTCCTGACCAAGAAGAGCTCCGAGAGCCTTCGCAAAGCCGGCCAGGCCTTCCTGGAGGAGCTGGGGAACCACAAGGCCTTCAAGAAGGAGCTGCGGCACTGTAGGTGGCAGGCTGGCCAGGGTGCGGGTGGGCAGCCTTATTCGTGAGCCTCCCGAGCCGAGCACTGGGTGCTGTGCGCCCCGCACCGTGTGCGTCCCGGCATTGGGAGCCAGCAGAGGCTCACCTGGTGTGAGGCATGGTGGGCTGTGTGGAGAGGCCCTTCCCGGGGCACCTCTCCTCTCACTGCACCCTTCCTCCCCGCCCCCCATTGGAGACCACTGACCCTGTCTTGGGGAAGGGGGGGAACTGATTTACTGTCACAACAGAAAGTGTGTTGGCATTTCGTATAACCATACAGGGAGGATCTGGCCCCGTTGTTTAACTTGTGTTTAGCAGCAGAACCATCTTCTGAAATGAGCTGTTCCACGGAGGGGTTGCCTGGCGGTTCCGAGGGAAGAGCACGTGGCTCTTGATCTCGGGGTCATGTGTTTGAGCCCCGTGTTGGGCACAGATTACTAAAAATATAAATTCAAAATATTCCATGGAAATCTCAGCTGCCACAAAAGCACAGCTAGGACTATTGTTCCCTCACTGGGGATGGTTCCCAGGTCTCCGGCTACTCATTGCACCTCCTGTGTCATCCTGCAGCTCCAGGGAATGGCTTCAAACCTAGTGTGAACCCCACAGTTGGCAGATGGGAAAATGCCCAGCAGGGATGTGGGACTTGCCCAAAGCCATGGCGGGAGCCCCTCTAGCGGGGGCCTCCTCACGTTGGCTTGGCTCTCTCCTGGCAAGGGCTGTCTGCTCCTGGTGGCCTTCATTCTCCTCCAGTAGCCGACTGGGGATATGTCACCCATGAATCCATCTGTTCCTTTACCCCATCTCTGATTTTTCCCCCATTTTAGATCATCTTCCTACTTGCAACATCCCCACCCACATTTCTGTGTATCACCCAGAGGCAGGTGATCTGTGCCTGCACGTGTGCTCAGAGAACCCTTCTTGGCTCCTAAGGCTGGAATGCTGGGAAACCAGGGGACTGTGAGCCTTCAGTGACCTCATCCAGATGTGACCCCTGAGCCCGGAATGGCTTGGCAGAAAAGCACCCACCAGGCAGGGCTCCTGGTTAGAGCTGGTGGCTCTGCCTTGGAGAGTGGCTGCCTCTTGAAGCTGCTTTTACCCTTAAAATCTACAATCCTTTTCTGCCTGTGACCCGGCAGGAGAAAAGTAACAGGCCTCCTCTCAGAGCAGAGGTCTCCCTCCCCCGTGAAGGGTATGCGACATCCTCACAGGGCCTCGACTCTGGGAGTAAATAGGACATTCCTAGTGACTCAGAAGCTAGCCACAGGCCTGGAGTCTGGAAACTGAAATCACAGATACTCCAGGTCTTGCCACGTGATGTCACCTCATTATATCCCAAGGCCTGTCGCACACGAGGCCCTTTCTAATATGCTTTCATCCACCAAACAGGCCTGCAAAGTACATGTCATGGTGGCCGAGTAACTTCTTGTCCAGGAAGCCCTGAGTGCAATGGGGCACTACTCAGGGTTCCCCAGGTGACCCTGGGAAAATGGGTGTATGGTCACCCTGATGGTGCCTGACAGACAGCTAAGGCTGAAGGGCTTGCGAGTGGGCTGGGATATTAATTATGCTCTTTCTGGTTCCTTCCCTTGTACTGCACCATTCCAACACTCTCTACCGGGTAGAGGGAATCTACCCGATTTTTCATGGCTTGCTTCCCTCTTTCAGATGTGGAGCTGCTGAGGCCAAGATTCCCTTGGCCTCTGCTGCCTGTCCCCGAGTTACAAGTGCTTTCATTTTCAAATCTGGAAGAGATCTAAAAACCTGACATGAAACCAGGGAATTCAGACCCCTTTTTGTAGCTCTGGTGTGGCTGTTTGACCAGCTTAATGAATGAGTGGATTGTACTGGATTACTTAAGAACTGCTGTTTGATGTCCAGTTTTTCCCCCTGGGCCTCCATGGTCGTGGTAAGATGCTGGGATGGCCCCTGCTCTCCTGCCCTGACTGCTCCCCTCTCTCCTCCTGCAGTTGTCTCTGGAGATGAACCCAGGGAGAAGATTGAACTGGTCACCTACTTTGGGAAGAGACCCCCAGGCGTGCTGCACTGCACAACCAAGTTCTGTGACTACGGGAAGGCTGCCGGGGCAGAAGAGTACGCCCAGCAGGATGTGAGTGCCCCCCAACCCCGGGGACAGCCAGCCGCGGTGGGGACGGGGGAAAGTCTGCTGGAGACCGCTGCTGGCTCAAGACAGGGACCAGAAACCAGACAGCCTCTCGGAAAAAATGGCATCTACTCCCCTTCCCCCCCCCCCCCCCCGGCTCAGTTGCACAGACGTCACCCACCCTTTCTGGAGAGCACCCCCTGCCCAGCACTGCCACCAGCCTGTGTATGTACCTCCAAGGCCTGCCCACCAGAGCCTTTTACTTTTGCAGACTGGTGCTCCTGCTCTGGCCTCTCTAAGATTGTGTGGGGTTCCAAAGGCCAGCTGTCCCCTGCCCCCAGGGAGCCTTGTGCTCTGAGGTCCCTGCCCCCAGGTCCTGGGCCTGGCCTTGCCCTGGAGTTGGGTACATCGAGGGATAGTGAGGCCTACTGACTGCAGGATGCCAGACCCTTCCCTCCAGCTCAGCTTCCACCCACGGCATCTGCCACGTGGTCCTTATGCAGCAGGCGTGTCGCCAGGCTGTGCGCTGCTGTCTCCAGCCTCCATGGTGGCCTTCTCAGTGAGGCCTTCCTCTGGCCCTCCACCCGCCTCCCCTACTTGTCTGCCTAGGTGGTCGAGGCAGCCACCTTACTACTGATTGCTTATTAGGCTCCTAACTTGCATGCTTTAGTTGGTTCATGGTAGTGTTCTTGGCACCTACCGTAGCTGCGTGAATGAGTGGGTCGCATCACCATCCCAGCCACTTGTGCACTTAGTATTAAGCACCTGTTAATACACTAGACACAAGGGATTGTGAGCAAAAATGGAGATGTGTTTACGTCCTTTTAGGAGAAATGGCCCTTTCTGAAAAGAATCCAATACAGTCAGACATGTAATCAGATGTAAACTGAGGTATACAGGGCAGATTCTGATCAAAGGCCTTTACTTCCGGCCTCACCCTGTTCTCTGGGATACTGCCTGGGTACTAGGGTGGCTGATTACCAGGATGAATCGAATAGCAATGACATGAGCACATGTTACATGCTTGTAACTCTCCTAGAATCTTCACCCAGATACTCCTTAATCCAGGCACTGAGGTAGGTTCTAGTTCCCTTCCTGTTGTGCAGGTGAATAAGCCAACGCAGCAGCGAGGTTAAACAGCTCGCTTGGATTCCTGCAGGGGGCGCCAGGTTCTGAGTTTGGGAAGCCTGGCTTCCAACTCTGCCCACCGCCCTGTGTCTGGCACCTTCGCTTGGTCACATCAGCCTGAATAGGGTCCGTGGAAAGATGTCCTCCCGGGACACACGGGCTGCGTGTGGCTCTTCCTCAAAGGCTTGGCCGTGTCGTGCTCGCCTCTGTCGGGTCCACTGGCGGTCAGCTGTCCACCGCGGGGGCCACCACCTCTAGCTGAGCGCTGTCCGTCTCTCCCCACAGGTGGTGAAGAAATCTTACTGCAAGGCCTTCACGCTGACCGTCACGGCCCTCTTCGTGACGCCCAAGACTACTGGTGCCCGGGTGGAGCTGAGCGAGCAGGAGCTGCCGCTGTGGCCAAATGACGTGGACAAGCTGTCCCCCTCAGACAGCCTGCCCCGGGGCAGCCGCGCTCACATCACCCTCGGCTGCGCGGGTGATGTGGAGGCCGTGCAGACGGGCATCGACCTCCTGGAGATCGTGCGGCAGGAGAAAGGGGGCAGCCGAGGCGAGGAGGTGGGTGAGCTAAACCGGGGCAAACTCTACTCCTTGGGCAATGGGCGCTGGCTGCTGAGCCTGGCCAAGAAGATGGAGGTCAGGGCCATCTTCACGGGGTACTACGGCAAGGGCAAGCCTGTGCCCACGCACGGCAGCCGCAAGGGGGGTGCCTTTCAGTCCTGCACCATCATCTGAGTGTCCTCACTGCGGTCAGCCCCTTGCTCCTTACAAGGGAGGGAGGGAGGGAAGCATGCCGTCTGCTTGATCTTTAAGATTTTTTTTTTTACTCCAAGTTAACCTTCCTGTAACTTTTTAAAAACTTGTGAAGTAACTTTTCCTGCCTGCCCTCCTCCCTGCTAAAGCCCAAGCTTTCAACACAAGGGGGGTGGGGAGCGCCATTCAGGGGCCCAGAGCAGAGAGGCTGGGCCGGGCCGGAGCCGCAGCCCCAATCCCAAGCCCAGCTGCCTGTCGCTGGTCCCCCTGCCCAGAGCTGGCTGGTCGGGTAGAGGGGGCGCCTTAGAGCTGCAGGTCCCCACAGGCTATGGGAAGCTGACCCTGGATCTTAATCATTGCAGCCCCAGGAAGGCTGGGGCTTTTTACCAGGGTAGAAAAGGGGGTTTACGTCCCATCTTTGGTCCTAAGTGCCTGTCCCCTCCTCCTTCACACTATAACTAGGGAACAGTTTGATAAGTAGGGGACAAAAGAGAACAGTAAGCAACAGCTACATCCCGGAGGGCTACAGGTCTCCCCCTTTCCTGGGGTGGGGGCGGGCTGGCCGCCTTTCCAGCCGTGTGGCTCTGCTGTGCAGGCAGGGAGATCAAAGCCAGAGAAAGTACCTTGGTGGGGAAGCTCCAATCTTGCTGTCTGCCCAGCTTGCCTCCTTGTTGCCGCTGGAGGCCCGTGTGCTGCCTCGGAATGGGGTCAGTCGGCAGGGACCATGAGCCAGTGGGGCAGTTGCCTGGCGCCTCTGGAAGGGGTGTGGAACACCGGTGCGTGCTGCGGTCCCTGGGGTGCCCTCCACTGCCCCCTGCTGAGTAATAGGCCTTGCTCATTGGGTTGTTACTGGACGAAAGTGCTTGAGTTACTATCCTGGCTTTGCCCAACCTCAGTGACTTGTAAGACTGACAGTGAAATAAACCGTGTTAATCCTGGCCGCGTGCAATCTCTCTCACCCTTCTGTGCCCAGCTCAGGCCTCCCTGGGGTCGGGGCTGGCGTTATCAGGACCGGCTTTGTCCCGCAGCATGGGGCCATCGGTCCTGTCTCCCCTCTACTGGCCGGGCACAGCTGTGGTGAGGCTGGGCAGCTGAACAGTGTTGGCTTTCATGAAGAGGCAGAACGGAGAGAGGCTGATCTTAGACGTGCACAGAAAGTGGGGGCTGCCTGGGTCTGAGGGATGTGGAGCTTGTCTCCCCCACTGACTGCAGCAACGGGCCCACAGGTGTTTCCCCCCCTCCCCCACCCAAGCAAGGAGAGAACCTGCCCAGCAAGACCCACGGTCCCTAGCCTGGGTCCCTCAGTCCTCTAGGGACGGGCCACTCTCAAAACACCAGGCAGTGCCTGACACTGAGAAGTTTTGTACAGGCCAATGTACAAAGGTCTCAGGCCTACCTTGGTCATCCCGTCACCATGGCTTTGGCGACAAAGGGGGAAGACTGGAAAAAGGGGCAGGGGCTCAGAAGGAAGAGAAGTGTAAGTTACCTGGTTGGTCCACGGTCTTTCCCCAGCCATCGCTACTACCGAAACGCCAAAAGTTTGAGCTTCAGCAAAAGTCTCAAGTGTCTCTGCCCGGAACTCCTAGAAAGATTACTTGCCACAAACACTGAATTTGACCTGGACAGCAGGACCTCGGCCACTGCTTCCTTCCCCAGTTTGCCTCCCACACAGAAAGGGACACCAGTGGAGAAAGTGAGGAGTATATGCTAAGAATGCTGTTTCTGACCATGTGAGCTAAACGTGCCCCAGGAGCTGTGCATCCCACCTGGAATGGGCCAGGGGTTTGTCCTTGTCCCTCTCTTAGCTGGCACTGGCAGCAGGACTGCAAGGGCCTACGTAAACCTCCTGTGTCAGCTCAGTCTGACACTTAGCCCCCAGCCATGTTCCATGTGACTCTGGACACACAGCTTCTGATTCATGGTGGCCCTTAGCCTCAAATAAACCCATTCTCTGAACTCTGCTTCCCCATGACTGACCTCATGGGGTCCAACAGCATACTGAGGGCCTGCGGGGCACTCACATACCGAACAGGCTTGGGAGAGGCAGCCAGCCTCCCCCTGCCATCGGGCCCTGGGTGCCCACGTCCCCCGCGGAGCAGCTTGCGGAGCCTAAAGTCCATGTCAGCACCAGCTCTGCACTGGGGGCTCAGCTCTGGCCCACCGAGTCTGGAGTGACACAAAGCAGCTGCCAGAGCAAAGTGCCAGAAAGGGTCAAAACATTTTATTCTCTTAATTTTTTTTCTTTTTTAATAAAGTTAAACAGTAAAACAAAAATTCACAAGCTGCCTCCCTGTCCAACCCCCGCCTCCCTCCCCTCCCTGCGGTCTTCGGCGCTGGCTCCCTCTCCTTCCCCCCACTCACACAGACACAGGGTATCCAACTAAGAAAACGAAACTGCTCTAAGGACGGGGAGATGAGATGAAGGGAGGAGGTGAACTGTGCCCACGTTCAAGGTTACATTGAGCAAGTCTCCACTTTCTGGGTTCTGGATGGTTTCCTTTCATTAGCCAAACTGGAAAAAGAAATTCCCTGGACCAGATGCTGTAAGGGAAAGAAAGGCTTGTTAGTTGGCTGTGCGGGAAGACCACTTTGCTCTGATTATGGGAAAGTCTTCAAGGGCTGCTTCAAGTTCAAACAGAAAATGCCAAGTCGACCGACAGCCTGAGGCCTGAGGGCCTAAGGGGATCAGGGCAGCAGCTGTGTGTGCAGCTTCTAACCCTCACTCTTGCAGAGAGGCCCTGGTACTAGACCGCGTAGACGCCTCCCAGACCCTGCAGAGGTGTGGTCCTAATGGTCCTGAGGCACGGTGCACCCAGGAACCTCCCTACCTCCATCCTCAGCAGCACCTGTGTGGATCGGGACCCTGCTGGATGGGGGTTCTGCCACCTCCACTTACGGGGCCCCTTGACTCTCATAGAGCTACCTTAGTGGGGAGCTACCTTAGCGGGGAGCCGCATTACAGGCCTGTGATTTGCAAATTCCTGAGAGCAGCGGGCACACCCACCTTCAAAGCTGAAGCCCCCAGGACCACCAAAGAATGCCTTGAAGATATTGTTTGCATCAAAATCTGTGCAGCAAAGTGAGAAACAGGGAAGGGAAAAAAAAAGTGCAAAAGTTAGACCTGTCTTAATAGGAACTTACGATGACATGGAGAATGAGTCCCCCTTCACAGATGCACCCCTAACGTCCGTCCTTTCCCTAAACATCATTGACCGGGATGGGCACGTGTCCCCCCCCCCCCCAATCTAATGCCACTCCTGGGACACCTTCCTTTCTCCTTCCTAGTGAGAGCCTGAAGGAAAGCTTTCTTCACTGCCACTTACTTTGCTGGACCTCCTCCATAACAACTGGGATGCCGTTTGCACTTACAGACACAAGACTTTCCCCACACTGTCTCCCTATGATGCCGGGCTGCTACCAAAAAGGCTAAAATCTTATCACTTCTGTGCTAACAACAAATACAGGAGTTTTAAGACTTATTGTATTCATTTGATTCCATGCTCTGTCTAGACTGTATGCCAAGAAAAAAAAAAAGTGCCATGGTTTATTAGGTACCTACTAGGTGCCAGTCACGGTGCTGGGTCCTCTGCATGCATTACATCATTCCCAGTTTATACTCAACCAAGTAGGAGCTCAGGTAACTTGCCCAAGATCACGTGGCAAGTGAAGGCAACAGACCTGAACATTCCAACTCCTGCCTGACTCCAGTGCTGTGCCCTCACCACCAGGCCACAGCAGGTCCGCTGCCCATACCGCTCCTCACTTCCTAAGCTCCACAGAGGATGCATCTCCACCAGTTGACCCAGCAGGCACACTGTATCCAAATGCAAATTCTTCCTTGCCTCTCTGTATCTGCCCACCTTGGGCCCCCCAGCTCAGGGAATGGCTCTGTCGAGTCAGCCATCCAAAGCCACTCAAGTTTATCCTTCCTCTCTTCCAACACACGCAGCAACCAACTCCTGCTGCATCTCCCACTGTGCCCTCCGACCCTCTCCTCCCCAGCATGCCCGCCTCCATCTCTCCCCCTTCAGCACCCCAATTCACCCCTCCTCACTGCCACCACAGATATACTTCTGGGCCTAACTCTGGTTCACAGCTCCCCTACTTAGGATCCTTCAATAGTGGGGGGGAAACTTCTAACCAACAGGAAAAAGCCCATACTTCCTACTCTAGCCCCTGTGGGGGGATCCAGCTCCTCTCAGGCTTCACAGCTCAGCACTCCCTGCCTTGAGCACTCTCTATTCTACATTCAGCCCCTTACAGCTCCCAAAGGTATTATTTCTGCACTTCCAAGCCTTCCCTTGCTAGTGCTTACCTCCTCTGCACCCTGGGCACCTGCTACATTTGACTGTACCTGTTGGGATTCCACATCCAGAGGTCAGGGGTCAGAGGTCACAAGTGGCCTGTGAGCCAGTCTGCAAAGCCCTAGACTGGGTTCTTGGAGCTCAGGGAGCCTGTTTGATTCACTTTGTTATTTCTGACACCCATCACAGTGCCTCACATGTTATGGGTATTCATCCAGGGTGGGCCTTACAAACCACTATGCGTCACTAGCTGCTACACAGACTCCCTGTTGGAGTGTCTTTAGAAAAACTCTAAAGATCCACAGTGGTCAGGTTCATCCCAGACTGCCCCAACCAACTCACCCCCCATGTTCATGCCTTCCTCATCCAGGTCCTGCCCACTGTCATAGCGAGTCTTCTTCTTGGGATCAGAGAGGATAGTAAAAGCTTCTCCAACTTCTTTAAACTTTTTCTCCTCCTCCTTCTGAACTTCGGCACTGGCTCCACTGTGCCGATCTAAAGGGAGGAGTACAGGAAGAACTCAGGGTCACAAGAAAACAAAGTTGAGAAAGATCACTTTATTGTCCGATTTTAGAATTTGGTACTTCCAAAATTTGGAGGGTATGGAACTTAGCAACACCTTATGAAGAGCCAAAAACTATCTTTCTTGCTTGCTTTTTAAAGTTTATTTATTTTGAGAGAAAGAGGAAGGGAGAAGGGGAGAGCGAGTGAGCACGGGGTTAAGAGGCGGGGGGAGGGGGGGGAGAGCGTGAGCACAGGGTAAGAGGCAGAGAGGGGGAG